CCCCAAAACCCCAAAACCCCAAAACCCCAAAACCCCACATTACTATATTTTATTGATAATATTATGGGAGCAGGCTGTTGCAAGTCAAGACCAGTGCCTCGGAACAGGTACAGCGTTGTAAAGATCCTTGATTCCAAAGAATGTCAAATAAGTGGCAGTTTTATGAATAATAAAAAACAAGAGAAAGGCAAAAACCAGGCTTACGAATTTTTGATCAATTCTAAGAATAAGAAATATAGCCAGAATGGGACCCTAGGAGTTGGGTATGCAGAACATAAAGGAAAAATCGCTTCCATGGATGATAATAATTGGCCAGGCAATAAGTTGTCTCTAGATACCAATATAGGCGGTAACAGTAAGTTATAAGCTAATTATTTGGATTTTGGGCTAAAATTCTTTCAATTGTACATTTTTATTAAGCCCCATTTTTAAGGGCAAAGCAATGGTATAAAGCACAAAGGTGGTACAGTCACTTAATTAGAAAATCTAGTTAAGAGTCCTTTATAGGAGATTATCCTTCAGAATCTTCTTGATAAGCCATCCATGATCAAGACACATTAGGGATAAATGAAAGGGGGACTGCTTAACTTCAGGACTCTCATCTCTTATTCTTGTATATTAATGAATTTAGTTTTAATTTTTAAACTCAAAAATAGCTTTATCAGCCTCGTAAAGACTCTGAGAAAATTTTTTCAATATAACATCTGGCTGATTTCTTAGTAGATATTATAGGTTTCAGGAATTATAAATTTGGCATCTATAGCATAAAGTGAGCTTTCCCTAGCTTAGTAATTTAATTGATTAATAATTATTTGAGCCCAAACTATAGCATAAAAACTAACTCAATTTGAAAGAATAATAGAGCTTCAGTGCTGAGCATTGCTATTTCTTGCTCTATACTTTTCACATAGACAATATGTAATTTTTTGGCAAGAGTCTAACAACATAACTCCCTAGTGTTGCTCATTACTATCCACATCAGGGTTGAAATAGGTTCAAAGCTCAGCCATGACGCACTCTTATAGTCAATGTTCATCCATCTTAGGTGATTTTTTAGTTACAAAAAAATTACTGAACACTCTTTTGAACACCAGCTTAGAATGCCAGAGCTTTAGAAAGCTCTGGTGTCAAAGAGAGCACAACTTTTATAGCTTTGGGTTATGGCTTTCTTAATTTGAGGGAATTTTGTTATATAGACAGCTTTACAAAATTCAAGCCTGTAGCTAAATCAGCCCAGTCGTTCCACAATATATCAAGCAGTAAAGTTGTAGAAGATGGGAAGAACACAGGGAGTGATCAGACCCCGTCCAACCTCACCAGTCTTGCTGATGCTGAAGAGAGAGGAAGTATGATCACGAAGTTTTCAAATCTGAAAAAGAGAGAACAAATTGATGACGATAAAATCCTGTCACAACTCATTGACTCGAACTGTCAGCATTCTTATCACTCTAATTTCAAGGATTCTTTGAGGAATTTGTCAAGCCCGATGAAGAAGAGAAAACAATCAAACGGCAAAGAAGAGCATGTAATCTCAAAGGTATATTTTTGATTCTCAGTTTCAAGGTGAAGATTTTTGGGTGAAATTAGCGACTAAATTAACCAATTTTACTCTTTTTAATTATTTGAAACTTTTGTATGTCATCGTAATGACTTTTTATAGATCTCAGAAGTTGTTGGTAAGTATACTCTAGACTGAACTCTGGGCACTTAATACCTCAAAATTATCCAGAATTTTCATTGGGGTTATCTGAATGCCTGTCTTCTAATGAAATTTCGTCAATAAAATAGCTGAAATAATGCCTTAGCCTACCAAAAATATGAAAATTAATCTATTTCTTAGACAGTAACAACTCAGTATCGGCAAAATCATTAAACAGCGGAGCAAGTCCTAAACATAAGGAGCAGAAAGAGAAAACTTCTGTTGAGCAGAAAGAGTCTGGCAAGACCAATGAGGATGCTAAGGAAACCCTTAAAATTCCTACTAATAACAAGACTATGAAGGATTTTGACTTCCATCTTTTAGAAGTCATCGGAAAGGGTAAAATTAGTATGGTTTATAAAGGCGTCAACCTTCTAAATGGATGTGCAATCGCGATTAAATACAGTAAGTTCTGCCTTATCATTATAGTGGAGCACAGGAAGCCCAGTTGACTTGATCAATTACAGGAGAATGTAGATACACTACGTGAGAAGCTCTGCAAGTCTGAGCAGTTTATTATTTACCATAGGGTCGACCTCGACTCTCAATTTGACCTAATTATGCTGATTACAGAATTCACACCTGAAGAAAGTCTAAGGGAGTACATTGAACAGTACGGGTTCGTGGACGAATCCACTGCTGTAAAGATATAATAGCAGAGATTGTTATCGGGCTTAAATTGTTAGAGAAAGCAAAATAGCTTTCATGGCAGGCTCAAGCTGAACAATATCTATATGGACAAGAAGTTCAAAATAAAAATGAATGATTATGGGATCTATAACGAGATTTATAGGGGGCTTAAGAAGAGTGCCAGCTCTGATATAAACTCTACCAGTAAGACACCTAGCATGTCAAGCAATAAGTCTTCTTCCCGTCCTGGAGATAATGATAACAAAATAGAACGAACACCCAAAATGAGCTTTGTAGAGGGTCTCAGAGTAGACGTATATTTCCTAGGCATTGTTATCCTCAAAATTCTTGGTAAGATGAGGATTGAGGAAGGAGATAAGTTGAATATGACTTCATTGCTACAAATCTCAGATATTTCAGTGTTTTACCAAAATGAATCTCTAAGTGAGGAAATGATCAATTTCCTAGATGTCTGATTTTTCGATCCAAATATTACATTGAGTGAATTGATGATGCACAAACTAATATCAGTGAATGTTGATCAATCTGAAACTATCAAAAATCTTAATGAAGCAGCATCACACTCTCCATATAATTCTTCTAAGAACTCTGGGACGAACAGCACATCGAAAGTTCTGAAGAGGTATCTCACCAGTGGGACTAATGAGGGATCAAGCTCTGAGTTTCTTTCAGAAACTAACTCAAACTTCCTGAGGAGCTCAATAGACACCTTTAAGGACAAGGAGAAGATCCAAAGCGTTCTGTATGAAGACAGCTCTTATATTCTAAATAAGCTCAAATCAATGAATAAAAGGAAATCAGAAGTGACCGGGAGAAGACAGTTGAAGAGACCTTCGACGTTTAATTTACCAAAAACACTCAAAGTTTCTTCAAATGCTGATTCTGTTAGCTTATCCAGTTCCAGTCCTGGATCCTTCAGCCGTACACTTGAGCGAGGTAGCCTCAAGAACAGAGTCATCGTGATGGGTGGAGAAGACCGAATGAAAAAGGAGCATGAACCAATCATCGAAGATGTGGATGAAGCTGACGAAGATGAAGATGAAGTTCAATCCCAAGTTCATTCAACTAGGAAGAAAATGAGTACTGTGAAGGTAAAAATCCAGAAATTAGCCGACCATGAAGTTGATGATAATTAGTGAAGTTTTCATGCAGTTCTCGTCTAGATGCCCAATAAATCAATGCTGCAAAAGTAGGGCCTGGGTATTCTCCATATTCCTTAAATATTAATTATACTGTATCTCAACTGGGTGAGGATGCCCTGGGGTTTTGGGGTTTTGGGGTTTTGGGGTTTTGGGG